TTAGCTGCATAATCTGGTCAGATCAGGTAACTTTCCTGTACCTCATGCTGATGGATAGAAATGTTTACTGAGGATCAAACTATTACTACAGAGCATTATATTTCTTAGAAAGTTAGTGTGTTTTCTGTTAGCAAATCATTTGTGGACCATTTCAATGCCAGTTGTATTTGTATTTCTTAATCATTCATCCAATAGTTTTGCCAAACAATTCAGGAACTATTGACTTAAGTTATTTGTTATTTTTCTGTCTGATTGGCCAAAGTCTCATAGACTCATAGATTTTAAGGTCAGAAGGGACCATTATGATCATCTAGTCCAGGGGTGTCCAAACTTTTTTCAAAGAGGGCCAGATTTGATGAAGTGAACATGCGTGAGGGCCGACCATTTTGCCTGACATTCTTTGAACCATTAAAATTAAATGCAAATTAACTATTTTATGCAAAGTTTATTGCAAACAGCATACTTTTCATTTCGTCACATGGATGACAAATCTAAACAGGTGTTAAATCACTCTGCCTTTCATATCTGAAGGCCAGATGAAAAAAAAAATCCAGGAAGCTGAAATATATGTCAGGAACATTGTAAAGTACATTACATATTATTGGTAATAAAGGTTGTCTGTCAACTTTTAAGTTCAAAAAATATGAACAGGAACATAACACCAAGTATACATGTTGTGTCCAAATATATTTATAACTGATTTAGACCAACTGACTTTAACTGAGATTTTACAATGTATTCATCTCAATACATATGGATTCGTTGGGGGCCATAAAAGATAGATATTGCCAAATTACCCGGGGGGCCATATTAAACTGGAACACGGGCCGCAATTGGCCCGCGGGCCGGACTTTGGACATGCCTGATCTAGTCTGACCCCTGCACAGTGCAGGCCACAGAATCTCACCCACCCCTCCTAGAATAATGAGGATATTGTTCCCATTCCCTGACTTGATGACAGAAAACTTCCAAAGAGACAGCATAAATTTTGTATTCGCATGCTCAAAACTTGAATTTATGCTTGAATAACTGATTATCACCAGAACAATGAATCATGCATCCCCATGAAAAATAACCAACCAAACTGAGCCGTTTTATTCACAAAGTATTTTCAGATCAGAATTTGTGGCGTTTCAGATCGGCTCTAAAGCTACCTCTACACAGTGTTTCCAAAATGCCGGGGGTATGTGTAAAGTGCATAAAATGGAACTGGCATTCAGGAACCAGGCCTCCTAATCCGCTGCATAGTCCAGTAGACCCCTTGTGGCTCTTGGTTAAGTGAGTTCACATGTTTGCCTGCTTCATGAAAACAATAACATTTCACAGACATTGATTCATTTTGTTACTTTCTTTGGGGGAGGGCACATGAAGTTGTCTGGCAAAACCTTTACCATGGATTTTTGCATTTATTTGCCAAGGTCACCAACAGGCAGCATTAAACTTCATGCTCTGGTCAAATTCTGACTCCAGTAATTCAATTCTGCCTACATGCATTTCCCTCTGTGATCTTACTGGGGAAGCTCTTCCTTATTCCCCAGATAAAAATGATTCCTGCCACACCTTCATTTCCTAGTGTGGGTCGAGAGGCTTTCTATACCTGCCCAGAGTTTGGGGATCCTTCTTGATGAAGGATACAAGATTATTGATATTCTGCTACTTGGATTGTAAACTCTTTGGGGCAGGGTCTGTCTTTTAGGTCTGTGTTTGTACAGCACCCAGCACCAGGGGGTTCTCGTCCGTGGTCATGACAATACAAATAATAATACAAGTAGTAGTGCAGGAAGGTGTTCAACATTATACAGACCAGGCGGAGCCTGCAGAGTGCAAGGTAGCGCTCTCTGAAAGAAATGACCAATTGAGCAGCCCTGGGGGTAATAAGCCAAGTGTTTCCATAAACCCACAGGAAATAGGCTACATTTCCAGCACATCATGCGGTAATGTAACTTAGCAACTACCTTATCCATTAAGAGAAGTCAGGCAGCTAAGCGTCTGCATACACAGGTGAAAATCTAGCCCTGGGGTTGCAGATGTTGGTGCAACTGCAGGAGACTACAGCATGTGTAAAAGCTTCACTTTTTTTTTTTAAACATTTATAGTGAACATATTTAAAGTAGTCATTTACCATTTTACATGAACCATAAATCATGGAGGAGGGAAGGGAAATAAATGCATGGGCTGTAACACAGGTTGTTTTGTAGCTTCTAAATTTCTTACGTGTTAGGTCATTTTGCTTACAAGTTAAATGGTTGTCTGAAAGAGGCCTTGGTTGGTCATAAATTGTCCTTCCAGTAATATAAAACATACCGTTTATTTGCAACACACGTGCTCTTCCAAGTAGATCCAACTGCTCATAAAGAACAAGAGCTTCTGTCATCTCTGAGACCACTGTAATAAAGAGGCCATTGGAATGACTCTGTACTCAGTAGGCGAGCAATAAGATCCAGCAACAGTAGCTTTTATGGTTTCTGTCTCCCCACCCCTCCCCTGGACAGCATTACATTTAAGCTCAATTTTAAAGGATCACAAAGGATTTCATATTGAAATCAATGGAACCTTGTAATGGTCCCATGGATTTCAATATGAAGTAAGGCACCACTCAGTTAAAGAGGTGAGAATTTGGCCCAAAGAGATCATTTATTTTAGTTAGGGAGGCTACTGATTAATGTGCCTGATCTCAGCTGTGCCTGAGGCCACGGTTTATTAATGGGCCTTCATTGTTGCAAAAGGACTGTTGCAATTCCAGTGTTTCCAGGCCTGCACAAGGAGCCTTTTGAGAAACACAGATGTGCGCTGTGCTGTACATTGCAGGATGCGCAAGCAATAAAGCAGCGTGAGTGGTCACAATTCATCTGCGCAACCCCTGGGAATCTAGCCCCAGTGGAGAGAAATGTAGAGTTTAAAACACACGCAGAGGTGGGTTTCCCATCAAACACTCAGGTAGCTCATCCAACTCAGGGAGTCTCAGTGGGAGGCAAACCAGGTTTCATTCAATCCTGCCAGTAGATTTGCTGCTTAGCACGTCACCAGCTGCTGTTCCATAGGAAACAAATAGACAGACTTCCCCTTCACAACACCAACACAACACAATTGATAACTTATTTTAAAGGCCCATCCTAGCTTAGCCCTGCCTTACCTTTCTTCTCCTGTGTGCAATTGAGCCATCAATGTCTATCTCCGCTCTGCCAATCACACCAGCCTTAACATCCCATGTGTCACATTTCTGACAAAGCGCCTCAATGTTTTCTGCCTTGCTGGCCCCTTATGTGTCCAAGGGATTTGCCGCAAAATCCCCCAAAGCCACTACCTTGTCCTCCATAAAACTCAACTTTGCCATGAAGCCTGCAAAAGACTCAGCAATGCAGTGTTGTGGTAATGTCTCAGGGCCCGGCTATTCGAGAGATGAGGTGGGGAAGGCAATATCTTTTATTCGAGCAACTTCGATTGGAGAGAGAGAGAGAGAGAGAGAGAGATGCTTTTGAGCTTACACAAAGCTCTTGTTTCTCCCACCAACAGAATTTGGTTTACTAATAGACATCACCTCCCCCACCTTGGCTCTCAACAGGGAGGCAGGAGATGTGTTGTGAGTGTGGTTTATCACACTGCCCAGACGCCTTTCTGGTATGTTGCACGCTCTTCATCAATGTGTTGTCTCTTTCTGTAGTGCCTCCGTCTGTACTTGGATTGTCCCCACATCAGGAACCACTTTTGTGTTCTCTTTGTACAGCACCTACCATAAGCAAGCCCTGGAGCTGCCTGTATTGTACCACAATACAACAACAATGAAACACAGGATGTTATGAAAAAAAATTACTTTTTAATGTACAAAAGGCTTATATACATGTTCAGCGCGTTGCCTCCATTTTTACGATGTAGAAAACAGCTAAAAATGTCCTTAAGATATAAATTTGACAGAACAATTCACCTACTGTGCTTTTAGTAATGATGTCTTCTATACAGAATATATACAGAGCTGGGAAGGGTTATAACACTATGATTTCAGGAAAGGAAGGAAGACCACCTGTGGAGAACGACAGGAACCATGACAAACTGGAGCTATGGTTTTGCTTCAGGGTTTGATCTTTTCTTGTTATGCGCATTGGCTGAAGCAGGGCTCATTGAGAAGCATCTGAATCCACTGAATAAATCAGGCTAACACAAAGGCCCAACCAGTTGCCGCTCTTGGCAAAATGTGTGCCCAGAATGGTTCAGAATCCTAAAACGCGCCCCATCCTCTTTCGTTAAATGCAAAGGGCGGAAACCACAGGGGAGTCCATACCATGAACTCAACAAGCTGGATCATTTGGAATTCATCTGTCTGGGTTAGGCATATGTGTTGCCCCTGCTGATCCTGCTTTCCTAGCACAGCAATGAGCTCCAGCCAAGTCAGGAAGGTTTGACGATATGCAAGGAATGCAGGATCAAGTCCAAGAAGTAGGGTGGGCCAGGTTCTGCTATGTTCACTCACACCTTAATCTTCGAACAGTCCCATTGAAGCGAATAGGACTAGCTGTGGAGTAGGATGCGACCCACCACAAATAAGGCTTTCATTCTGGCCTTATGGTAAATACACAATGTATTATGTTCTGGTGTATCTGGCATCACA